TCCTCCCGCTCCTGCTCCTGCTCATGCTCCTGCTCCTGATCCTCATCCTGCTCCTCCTCCTGCTGCTGCTCCTGCTCCTGCTCCTCCTCCTCCTCCTCCTCCTCCTCCTCCTCCTCCTCCTCCTCCTCCCTCCGTAGCCATTTTGGCTCAAGTTTGCCTCCCCTCGTGCCGGTCGCCATTTGCCTCCTGGCCGCCACTGGCCCCCGCTCCAGCCAGTCCGGGTGCCTGCCGCTTGGGAGGCGTGGCGCGGGAGGGCGGGGGCCGCTGCCCGTCCGAGGCGCTCGCCGGGCGAGCGCAACGGGGTGCCCGCGAGGGGGCCTCGGGAGCCTCGAGACGGGGGTCAATGCAAACGGGGGTCAGCCAGGGCGCCAGATCCTGCAGGATCCTGCGAAGACCCCCTCTGGCTGACCCGGGTTAGGGAGCCGCTCGTGGCCGCGAGGCGGCCGCGCGTATTGGCTGACCCGGGTCTGCGAAGACCTGCGGTGCAGTTTTTTTGTCTTGCATTGCAGTTTTTGTTTTTTTGCTGACCCGGGTCTGGATTGACCCGGGTCAGAAGATCCCCGAGGGCCCGTCGCTGGGCCGCGGTCGGGCTGGCCAGATGGCTCGCCCGTGCCAAGGCGGAGCTGGACGCCGCTGTCCTCCTCCCTCTCCTCCTCCTCCTCCTCCTCCTCCTCCTCCCCTCCTCCTCCCCCTCCGCCTCCTTCCTCCTCCTCCTCCTCCGCCTCCCTCCTCCTCCTCCTCCTCCTCCTCCTCCCCTCCCTCTCCTCCTCTCCTTCCCCTCTCCTCCCCCTCCTCCTCCTCCTCCTCCTCCTCCTCCTCCTCCTCCTCCTTCCCGGAGGCGCTAGGCGGGCTTCTGGGCGGCGCGGAGGTGGCGGAGCAAAGGCGCGGCATCCTCCCAGCGCCGGCGGCACTGCTCGAGGGGCGCTCTCCTTGGTGGCTGCCGAGGCGGAGCAGGGACGTGGCGCTTCACTCTCTTGCGCCGGGCAGCGCCGCCATCGACACGGCGGGTGCGTCCAATCTTCGGAAGGCTCAGCACGGGCCTCGACTCGAGTCCAGAATCGGCGTCCTCGCGAAGCATGCCGCGCCCTTCGTGCCTGGCGGCGGGTACTGGTGCGGGCTGGCCGACGTGGATTCGTCGTTTCATCACTTGGCGGAGGAGCCCAACTTTGTCGCGGGAGCAGCTTCCGGACAGCAGTGCGTCCCTCACTTCATCGACGCAGCGGTGGGAACTCTGGCTGGCCTGCAGGTTTGGTTCCGTCAATCCACAAGCAAGGCCTCTGGGAGCCATTTTGCGAGTCCTGCGATCCTGGCCCTTCCCATCTCACGGTCGAGGAGCAGGAGGCGGAAAGGCTGTCTACGCAAGTCGCGCCCGCGCTGCGTCGAGGAGAGCCTGCGTGCTCCGATGGGCCCTTGTTGGGGTGCGCTGCCATGGTGCCACATGAAGGGTTATTGGTGCGCGCCGGCGTGGGCGCCTTTTCCGTCCAGCTGTGGTGGCACCGTCGTGGACGCGGAGTGCAAGACTGCCTCAGGCGATGGTGAGGGCTTCCACAGCGTGTTCTTCATGGTGGTGGCGTCCATCTTTCCGGCTGCGAGGGGGGGCCATCTGGAGACGTGCGCCGTCGTCCACGTGTTCCAGGCCATCGACGCTTTCATCATCCCGTCCTTCGTGGGGCGCACGTGTGCCTGTTGTTTTGTCTTCATCGCTGGGACCGACGGGTCGGACTCCGAAGCGCTCTGGTGCAGGGGTTGCGACGTGCTCATCTGCTCCCGGTACTGGCCTCCGAAGCTCGAGCAGCGGCTCGCCGCTGCGATGGATACGATGTGAAGTGCCTTCCCCGTGGGCTGCATGGCCCTGGTGTGGGACCATGGCCAGGAGCACTCGCTTTCCCTGTTCGGCATCGTCGGCGTCAGCTCTGACCCCGCGTGCCTCGTCAAGTTCACGGGGCGCGCGTGCCTGGAGTTCATCGTCTTCGGCGGGGTCGTGCACGGGAGGCGGGGAGGAGTGGTGCGGCGGCAGAACAAATCCTCGGTCCTCCTCCTCCCCGAGTTTTCCTCCATGGGTTCCCACCACGGCCGGGGAACGCACAGTCCGACAGCTTGGCCAAGCTCCGGCCCAACGCTGCGCCCCCCCCCCCACACCTCTGTCCTTCGAGCCTCTTCGGCCCTGCGCCCTCCTCTCCGAGCCACACCGGCAGAGGCATCGTGCGCTTGGATCTGTTCGACGCGTGGGCCCCCCCCCCTGGCCTCTTTCGTCCTCCTCCTCCTCCTTCCCCTCCTCCTCCTCCTCCTCCTCCTCCTCTTCCTCCTCCTCCTCTCCGCCTCCTCCTCCTCCTCCTCCTCCTCCTCCTCCTCTCCCTCCCGTCCTCCTCCTCCTCCTCCTCGTCCTCCTCCTCCTCCTCCGCCTCCTCCTCGGCCTCCCCCCTCCTCCGCCTCCCCCTCCGCTTCCCCCTCCTCTTGGCTGAGGTCTTCGGGAGGCTCCTCCTTCTCCTCCTCCTCCTCCTCCTTCCTCAGGCCTCCCTCCTTCCTTTCCCATCCCCCTCCGCCTCCCCCCCTTCCTTCTCTTCCTCCACCCTCTGTCCTTCCTCCGCCTCCTACTCCCCGCCTCCTCTCCTCCTCCTCCTCCTCCTCGGCCTCCCCCTCCGCCTCCCCCTCCTCTTGCTGGAGGTCTCTGGAGGCTCCCGGAGGCAAAACGAAGGGCAAATATCACATTCCCCTGAGCAGATGTTGTCGCCCCCCAGCAGTTTGTTGGCGCCCCCGAAGCCAGGAGCCCGCCTCCAGAGGCCAGCAGTGGTGACGAAGCGGCCGCCGCCATCTGTTCGAGGCGATGTCAGGGTCCTCGAGCCTCCGAGATCTTGCCTCTTCGGGCTTTCTCGGCCCTGTGCCCTCCTCTTCGACCTTGCCCCCCCCCTCCCTCGAGCTGGAGCTTCTTGATCCAGCCCCCCCCCTCCTCGAGCTATCTGGATCCTGCCCGCCCGGGGCCCCAGGCCGTCGCCTCCGATGCAGCCGCTGCCGCCGCCGCTGCCGCCGCCGCTGCCGCTGCCGCCGCCGCTGCCGCTGCCGCCGCCGCTGCCGCCGCCGCCGCCGCTGCCGCCGCCGCTGCCGCCGCCGCCGCCGACCCAAACATCCGACGATCTGATTTGTTCAAACCGCGGGCGCAGAGCTCGTGACCCCTTTCCCAGAAGTTGGCCTGCCGTGGCCCCACAAGGGCCCGAGGCACGGCCCCCCGCGGTCGACCTCGAGGAGCCAATGGCCGGAGGGAGCCGCGCAGTCAGCTCGTCGGAGCTTTGGGGGTGCGGGCGCCGCCGCCGCCGCCGCCCCCGAGGCCAACCCCGCGGCCCCGGGCGCCGCCGCCCCGGACGCCGCCGCCCCCGCCCCCGGCCCCGACCTCCCCGGCGCCCTGCCGGAGCCGCACGCGCCGCCCGAGGCGCCGCCGCACCGGGGGCGGCCTCTGGCGGTCGTCTGTGGCGGCGCCGCCGCCGCCGTCGTCGAGGCCGTCGTTTTTTTTTTTTGTTGTTTTTGTTTTTGTTTTTCTTATTCCTCTGGCAAGGGCAGGGCGCCCCCCCGCCCCCAGACACGTCGACTGAGGACATCTGCGCGGCTTCGCTCGACAGTGGCACGCGAGGGTGCCGCGGTGCCGTCCGCGGCCAGCTTCGCCAGTTGACGTCCGGCTTGCTGGACGGATGCGGACCTGTTGGACGTCGATTAGCTACCCCGTTGGGGTGCAGTCGAAATGCGGTGCCGTGCCCCCGTGGAGTGCCCCTGGCAGCTTTCTCTGAAGGGCGTTTTGCTACAGGGTGTTCTGGCCACCCTACGATTCTTCGCCGCCGCCGTCGAGGTAGAGGTCGCCGTCCCCAGCCATGCTCGCGTCGGAATAGCAGTCATCACGCCGAAAGGTCCTTGTCCGTTTTGGGGCCTTTGGGGGCCTTCCCCGGGCCACCTTACCCTCAGAGATCGACTCGGGATAAAGAAATTGGCCCCATGGCAAGGACGTCCAGGACTTCCTGCGCGTGGCGGCCTCGCGGTCGTCCTCGTTCGGGCAGTGCCAAGGGGGTCACCAGTTCCTCCCGAGGATCGATAAGGTTTCAGGATCGAATGTCGAGGAGGGCTGGGGTCACCAGCTCCTCCTGACGATCGATAGAGGTTCGAAGGTCGAGGAGGGTTGGGGTCACCACTTGGGGGGGAGGGCACCAGTTCCTCCTGAGCATAGCGGTGCCAGAATCGAATGTCGAGGAGGGTTGGGGTCACCACTGGGGGGGGGGGGGTCACCAGTTCCTCCTGAAGATCGACAGATGTGCCAGGATCGAAGGTCGAGAAGGGCTGGGGTCACCGCCTGGGGGGGGGTCACCAGCTCCCCCCGAGGACCGAGATGCCAGGGTCGAGTGGCGAGGAGGGTTGTGAACGCTTGGGGTCGCTTTGGGGGGGTTCTTTGGAGAGCTCGTTTGGAGCCCCACTTCCTCGCGGATAGCTCTCGAGGGCGTGGCGCCCTCCCTCGTGGTGAGCCCCCGGTGAGTTTGCCTGGCTCGTCGCCGCCGTCGCCGCCGACGTCGAGGTCGCCTTCTTCGCCGCCGCCGCCGTCGAGGTCGTCGTCGTCGTCGCCGCCGCCGCCGCCGCCGCCGCCGGTTCGTCTTCGTCGGCTTCCTCTTTTTTGTCTCCGCCGCCGGCGCCGCCACCGTCGAGGTCGTCTTCGTCGTCGCCGCCGCCTCCGCCGTGGTCGTCGTCGTCGTCGTCGTCGTCGTCGCCGCCGCCGATCCGCCGGTGACAGAGCAGGGCTTCGCGAGGTCCAGCAGGGGCAAGCGGAGGGCGGGTGCCTCCGAATCCACGGCCGCAGCCCGGCGGTCCCCGGGGCAGCGTGGGGGATCCCTGGGGAGCGGGGGCATTGGGGCACAGTGGAGACCCATGCCATGAAACGCCCTGCTTGCCTCCAGGATTCCCCGTGTTTCTCGGGTTTCGATGGTTAGGAGGCAACTACTGGGAGGTTTTCGTCGGAGAAATTAAGGAGGATTAAGCCCCATTCGGGAGCTGTTACGCCGGAATGGGCCTCGGATTAAGCGGGATTAAGCTGGATTAAACGGGATTAAGCGGGATTAAGCCGGATTAAGCGGGATTAAGCCGGATTAAGCCGGTTTTCGGACCAGGGCAAAGTCAGAATTTAACCTCCCAGGAGTTGCATCCGAACGATGGTTTTGCAATGGAAAGCGTGACGTTCCCACACCAAAGATAATCAGTGGACGTCCTTGGGTGTCAGGGTTGGGTTTCTCTTGTGGAGGGTCTGTTGTGGACTGGCCTCCGCTGTACGTGCCCTCCCCACTTCGTTGCAGAGGGAGGTGGCGGAGGAGTACAGTCGACCCGCATTGTAATGAGGGGCACCCTTCCCAAGGGTATCCTTGCAACCTTGCCTCCTCGGTCCGTCCTTGGCCACTTCTGTCGGCCGCGACCCGTTCGAGAAGCTTCGACATGGGTGTCCAAGGCCCTTGCATCCTCATCGCGCCTCTTTCTGGTACGGGCCGACTGAGAGCTTGGAGAAACGAGCCGCCTCGGTTCGTGACAGCGACGATAGCGACGACGATGGCGTTGACGGCGGCAACGACGGCGGTATCGACGACGACGATGGCGGCCGCGGCGCCGGCGGCGACGACGACGATGGTTCCAACCATGACCACGACCTCGCCGTGCAGGGCACGGGTCCAGAGAGAGATGTCGGACAGGGCTAGGACGAGGATAAGTCCGTTCCAGAGCGTGCTGGAGCGTTCTCTGAGCGTTCTGGAACGCTCTCAAAAGGCCGCGGCGCCCGAGACATCCTCCAGAGCCGTCCGATCTCAGATATTCTCGTCTGAAAAGAGGTCCGCGTCCAAGGGGCTCTCCCCTACAGTGTTTTTTTTTAAGACATGCTCCGCGTGCGGACCATGTATTGAAAGTAAAGGGTTGATTCATAAATCCAAGGATGAGTTTATGCATTCATTTATTCATAGATGAACCATGTATAACATCCAATCATCAATTCGGATCATGTATCTTAAGCTCTTCAGCCCACGCCGTTCTTCCGACGATCCCAGGGCCCAGGCAGGGCACGGGGGCCCGAGAACGGCGACGTACGTTCAGGACCTCTTCCCGTCGTGCCCCCTGCCGTGTGTTCTGCCTCCCTCCTCCTCGTCCTGGCGGTGTCTCGCGATTCCGACGGCAGTGCGCTGTGCTTCGCAGTGGCAGCTGGTGTGGGATGTGCGCAGAACTGGTCGCTGGATATGTGTTCCGCGGAAAAAGAAGAAGGGGCCCTGGGACACACAAATAAATACACACAAATAAGACAATTCCCCAAACATTTCCCATATTTTCTGGGTTTCTGTCTTCCCCGCCACTTTCCATATTTTCCCATATTTGGGGGGAATCGACGATTAATTGTGTCTGTGTGTTTTTTCCCCTCCTGAAAAGAGAGGGACCTTCTTTTCTTCGGGCTGGCCAGCCGCGGCCGCGACCACGACCTCGAAGACGACCCCCCGCGGTGCCCACGGCGGCCAGCGACGCTGGCGAGGCCGCGTGCAGTCGCTGCCGCGGCCACGACCACGACGGAGCCGCGAGCCGCCGGCGGCGACGGCATCGCTCGGACGTGTGCATTTTTCCTTCGGCGAGAACCATCGAGGAGCATCCTTGATCACCTGGCGAAAAAAACACGCACGAAACCGAACAAAAACGCAGGGAATGGACGTCGGAGCGATGGCCAGCGGCGGCAGCGGCGGCACTTCGGGCCAGCGAGGAGGCCGCCGCGGCGCCCGCCGCGGCGCCCGCCGCGGCGCCCAGCGTCGGCCAGGTCCGGCGGCAGCAGGAGGCCTCCAGGCGCCGGCCGCCGATCTCGCCCCCTCTGCCGCCGACGGCGGCCCGGACTACACTGAAGTCGGGCCTGTCCCCCTACAGGGGGATTTTCGACGAAAAATAAACAAATACCCCAAAAATAATAAAAAAATGCTCCAACAATGGTCCGGGGACTATTTTTTTAGTATTTTCCGACCTTTTTGGATTATGT